GGGGCCAGTGGGCTGTGGGCCTGGGTCTCTGCACTTCTCAGGGAAAGGGGACCTGGGCAGATGGTGGTGGTGGACTTGGCAGGACGCCCACTGAGAACCGGGACCCCATCCCAGGAGGCATGCCTCCCACCCCTGCCGAAGAGCCAGCATCCCCTGTGGCAATCAGGTGCATTTCCAAGGCCATAGGCACAGGCCCCGGAGTACCCACCTACGGCCACCAGCACCTTCCACTGGAAGGGGTACGGAAACTTCCTCTGAAGGAACATCTGCAGGCCGAAGGTTGCACCGGTGCCTGCCAAGAGCCAAGGTCTCCGTCAGCCAGCCTGTCCAAGAGGTGCTGAGCGCCCCCGGGACCTGTCAGGCTCCCAGCACCTGACGCCACCTGCCGGGGAGTCAGGGTGAGACAGGAGGGCGAGGTCTCTCCATACCCCAGGACACGGGGACCCAGCCTACCTGTGACAAAGGTGAAAATGCCCTTCACGAAGGCGCTCGACTGGCACGCGGCATACTCCCGGAGTCCCTGGGATGAGGGAGGGGGTTGAGGGCCCAGTTCCCCTCCCGCTTCTTTTACCGTCCCTCCCGTCCCTCCTTCGGGCCGTATGGAAGGAGACCTCATCGTGAGGCCCTGAGGGCTTGGACACATCCCACCTGCCTGCATGTCCACCCAGGATGCCCCGGTCCCCACAGCAGGAGGCTCCCCCCCTCTCTGTCCCTCTTCCACTCCATGAGGCCTCCCCCCCCCCAGATCCTCCCACTCCACACAGATCTCACTGGCCCGCTGGTCAGCTGCTGAGGTCGGGGGCCCGCGTTCCAGGCGGCCTTCTCACCGGGTGCTTGGCGGCCACGGCGTCGTCCACCCGGGACAGGCCCAGGTTCACCATGTCTGGCGGGTCACCAGGAGCCAGCGGGTCAGCCTGTGCAGGACCCGGCGGAGGGGGCAGGGCCGAACAGAAGGGCGGGGCCTGCTCAGGACAGGGCGGAGGGGGCGGGGCCGAACAGAGGGGCGGGCCTGCGCAGGACACGCGGAGGGGGCGGGAGCGAGAGGAGGGGCGGAGCCTGTGTTGGAAGGGGGAGGCGGGACGGGGGGGGGCGGCTAGGGTCCTGTGAGAAGGTGGGAAAGGGTGGGGGGTGATGGTGGGTAGTCTGGGCGATGGGACTCAGGTGGCCTTTGAAGTAGAAGGGGAGTGAGGCTGGGTCCTGGCCAGGTCTTCTGGGGGAGATTGACCATCAGTTTAGGTCGCTGGTCAGAACGTTGAAGTCCCAGCTGGCACAGGGACCTGGGAATGGACAGATTCCCTGGGCTATTGGGTCCTGTGTGACATGTGGGCAGGTCTAGCTTACCTGTATGCCCCAGCCACGGTGGAGAAGCAAAGCTACCGCCTGGCCTGAGGATGAGGCCAGGCCTGGGCTGTTTTCCTGACTCGGGGGCAGTGCCTGTCCAGTGGCCAAGGCTGGGCATTCTGGGTGAGGCAAGACCCCTCCTTTGAGGCTCCGGCCCTTTACTAAATGGTCATGTTGACCTTAAGAATGAAAGTTATTTTACCAGCAGATATGGGTTGATTGGGGAATAGCGCAGAATTGCAATTTGGGATATGCAAGCTAACGGCAAAACCACAGACAAGTCCAACAGAGGAGAGAAACATTATTTTATGGAGAAGAAGGAAATGGGAGGGGTCCTGAACCAAACCCAATGGAGAAAAGCAAGGGTTCAGGGTGATGGAGACTTTTCACAGGCTGAGTTGCAGGGGCCTGGATTTCGTGTAGGAGGGGTGGTGTAGGTCTTTGCCCATGGGGCCTGTAACTCGTGATTTCCCCCGATTGACACTGTATGGCGTGGCTCCTCTGTGGGCCGGGAGAGGCAGGGCTGACTCGGAGGATGGTAACCCTGTCCTCACCCCCAGACCCACTACCTTCGCTTGCGCACACAACAGGGGAGGGTGGGCTGCAGGCTGGTGCCCCCGCCCCCTCCCCGGCACCCCGAGGAGGCCATCCTGTGCCGTCCACACGCCCTTTGCCAGGATGGGCTTCTCCTGCTCTTCCTACCCGCTGCCTCCCACATGCCCACTCCTTAGAGTGTGTGCGTGTGCCTGTGCACGTGTGTGTGTGTGTGTGTGCGTGCTGACATGTCTGCGCGAGCCCCTCTTACCTGGACAGGGGCCTCCCTCCTGGCCCGGGGCCCTGGAGGGGAAGAGACGGAGGAGAGACACAAGGGTCCAGAGAGCAGGCCACCCCGTTTCTCTGCGCGTGCTGCTCCCTGGTTCCAGGTCGGGTACCCCACAGTGGCCTCTCACTAACGAGGTGGGGTCAGCCCCTCTCCTGCCTGGCTGTGCCCTCTTCTGGCCTGGAGGACACCATCCCCTTCCTCCTCCCCTCTGCTTCCTCCCCTCCTCACATCCCTCTCCTCCCCCCTCTCCCCTCGTCCTCTCCTTTTCCCCATTTCTCTCCCCCTCCCCTCTTCCTTCCCCTCTCCTGCTCCCTCCTCCCCTTCCCTCCTTCTCTCCCTCCTGTCCTCCCACCCCTCCCCTCCTCCTCCGCCCTTCTCCGCTCCCCCCTCCCCTCTTCCCTCCCTCTTTCTCTCCTCTTCCTCCTTCTCTTCTCATTCCCATGCTTAGTGTGGCTGCCCCAGCAAAACCGGAGGCCCGGCACATGGGAGGATCTCCAGACCCCGGGTGGGGCAGCTGCCAGTGGGCCAGAGGCTGACTTGAGGCAACCTGGTGGTTGAGGTCGCCACCTGGCCCCACAGGTGCTCTCATGGGTGCGAACTCTCGGGCCTGCCATCAGGTGCATGACACGTCACCCAGGTTTGGCAAGAGGAGGAGGCACGGGGGCCTGGCTGCTGAACAGTGGGGGCTGGGACGACCCAGGCCCGCAGAGCCCACGTCCTGACTGCCCTGCACACTGAAGCTGGGGCAGGGTCACGGTGGCCTGCAGCCTGTGACCGGGGTGCTGAAGGTACCTGAGGGACAGGAGCATTGGAGGCAGCTGCCTGGTTTGGATTCCAGGTGAGGGTGGGGGCAGGGGCCCCTCCTGAAGCCCCAGGCAGAGATGCCCAGCCCCGACCCATTTCCTGGAGGGACACAGAGGGCACCCACAGATTAGGAGAAAGTGGGTCGTGTGTTTACACAGAAACTATGCGCACGTGGGTGGGGTGCAGGGGACCCTGAGAGCCCGTGCAGGAACCTAGAGCTGGGAGCAGCAGAGCTGACCCACCCAGGTCAAAGGGTGGAGGGGAGGACCGGTTCTAGAAGGTCGAGGTGAACTGTGTAGGTGAGGCCCCCAGTGACCATAGGGAGGATCTGGCCTCCGCCCTCCCAGCTCCTGCAGGGGCTCCCTGGGGTGGAGTCTGACTAGGCAGGGGGCCAGGGGGCCCTTGACATCGTCAGCACAGTTCGGGCTCCCTCTGTGGTCAGCAGGGTGGAGGCACGGAGACCTGGAGACTGCTTCTCCCCCGAGGGCAGAGGTCTGGGGGCAGAGAGCAGTGCCACGAACCTGATGGTTGGGCCTGGGGGAGACAGTCAGCAGCCCTGGGCCACCGAAACCAGTGAGAAGTGACTGGAAGGATCCTGGGGCTCCTGGATCGTCAGGAAGCTGGAGAACCAAGCCCGTGGGGTCTGGGACAGCTCTGGTGAGCGGAGATGGACAGAACAAGAACCTCCAAGGGAAGTGTTGGGTCTGAGCCACGCTGGGGGTGCCGGCTCCAACCAACCCCTGAGTCCCAGGGCTCCTCCCTGCAAGGCTCAGACCCCAGGGTGGGGGCAAAGGCGCTGCTGGGCAAGGTGGCAACCCCCACACCTGTCCCCTTGGCCTTCACAGCATGACGCTGGGAGGGGCCGAGGCAGGGAAGCCAGACGGCCCCTCGCCCACCAATTCTGTCCTCAGTGGCTGCTGGCTCGAACTTGGCACAAGGGCAGGAGCAGGTGAAGGGTGCTCGGGGGAGCCCCGGTTCCTGCCTCCTGGGTGGTTGTGCTGCAGTTGGGCGGGGCCCAGGGCCCACCCCTCCACACAGCCTGCAGGGGAGGGGCTCCCCCCGCCCTCACCCCTCCCTACCTCTCACCAGGAGCTGCTGGAAGTCCCTGCTTCCCTTTGAGAGGGGAGGAGGTGGCCTCTTCATGGCCAGAGCCTTCCTTGACCCACAGTGGGGCCTCCTCCTCAGCCCGCAGGGCATCTCTGTCTGACTTGGCCCCAGGAGGCACACGGAGGAAAGGCCAGGGTGTGGTCCGCGTTTCGGAGAGCTCGCCTTCCCTGCATCTTTTCACATCTGGAGCTGGACCAGCCCTGGCAGAGTGGGCAGGGCATAGGGGCTCAGCTTGTCTGGGGCAGCCCTGGAGGGCAGACTGGCCCTTCCTGGATGGCACCCACCCCCGCAGCACTGGGGCTGGGGCCCCGCTCCTCTGTGCCCCTGGTCTCCCCCGGGGGGCTGAGAGGGCGATGCCACCTGCTCAGTGCCCACCCATCGTCAAGAAAGAGCCCCCCACCCTGCCCCAGCCCTGGGGCCAGGGTGTCTCTGCAGGTGAGGGGAGAGGGGGCTGCAGAAGCCATAGCCGGATGCACCCCTGCCTCCAGGGAGGCCACCGTTCAGTGCCTTGGGCCTTGTCTGTGCATGCCCGCCCCCGGTGGGCTGTCTGTGCCCGGCTGGAGTAGGGGTGGGGCAAGAGGCAGGCTCCACGTGTACATTTTCTTTTTCCCGGAATTAAGTCTATGGCTCTGTCTGTGTCATAACCTGTGTCGTCTGTGAAAGCCAGGATGGCCTCCGGCAGCATGTGTCACTTCTGACAGTGTGGGGTTTACTTCGCGACCCCACAGCTCAGCCATAAGCGTGCGCGGGGGCCGGGCAGCCCCAGCTGGGGGAGACCCAGACCCGTTGACCAGTCATTTGGGACCCCCAGCTCCGGCAGCCACCGATGGCCTTTCTGTGGGTCCACAGAACGGGGTGGCTCGGGTCTCTGTGTCTCTGCACGACGCGCTCGAGGCTCATCAGCGACGCGGCCGGTCGGTCCTTGGTCCTCCCTGTTCTGGGCGCCGTCCCCCGCTCTGTTTGTCGTTCACTGCCGCCGAGCCCGCCTGCGGTTTGAAACGGGTTTCCAGTCCCAGGACTACCACGCTCCCGACGGGCCGGACGCCCCGCCCGAGCCCCTCCTCAGCTCAGGGTCCAGCCAGCGGGGAGCACCCCCCCCCCATCTCCCCACGCACAGAGCCTGCTGTGTGTGGCTGTGGAGCACTGCCCTCCAGGGCGCTGGGCGGGCAGGACGGGGGAGGCCCGGCAGCTGCCCCCTGCGTGCACTCTGGGGGGCTCGGGGGACGAGGCTGCGGCCTCGAGGGCCTGCTGCGGCCACGGACGAGGCAGGCTGAAGCCACCCACACAGCCCGTGCCCCGGCCGCGAGTGCTGTGGTGTCTCCGGAGGCCACGGTGTGTAGCGCCCCCCGCTGGCCGACGTGACTTTCCTCCCTCGTTCTTCCGCAGCTGTGAACAGAGAACCCCCTGTGGGGCCTCAGAAGCCAACGGGCCACCAAGAGCTCCCATTGTCACCGAGTTTATAGCACGTGCAGCAGGAGGAGAGTAAATAAACACGGAGGAAAATATTAAGCTCAAAGCCCAGAGGAAACAGACCAGGGGTGGGGTGCACGCTGGGCTGTGAGGAGGGCTGCTTGGAGGAGACAGAGGCCGGAAGCCGCCCCGGGAGCAGCAGGCTCCCCCGGGTGCTGGAAGGGCCGCAGGGCCAGGGGGCCGATGCCGCCGGAGGCTGGGTTTCATCCCAGGTGCCCCGACGGACGACTCGGGAGGGTCGTAAGCAGGGATGCGCCAGATCTGTGCCCCTCAGGGTTCGCTCCGGCCACGGTGTGGAGAGCACGTCCCGGGGGGCGAGGAGCAGGGGGGCCGGCAGGTGGCCGAATGGCAC